AATTTTAAGTTCAAGTCTTTTTAACTTGAAAACACTAATTTTTTAAAAAAATAAAGAGTAAGGGTATGTTATTACCAAAGTTCGCAGACACCAAAAGATGTTAGTATTTCAAAACAATCAATTATCAAGGCCATGCACTTTTTTTTTTTAATTTTTTTTGTTTTGTTTTTGTTTGTTTTTTTTGGTACCGGGGATCAAACTCGGGTCCTCAGCTTGCAAGGCAGGTGCCAGAACCACTGAGCTAAATCCCCAGCCTATGCACTTATTTTTAATAACATACTTCTAGAGCTGGGTGTGATGCCTGTAATACCAGCACCTGGATGTTTCTTATGGAAAAGGAAATATTTAAAAACCAGTTGTTGGGAGCCACTCTACATAATTTTTGGGAAAAATCATTTCACAATTAAATTATGATTAGGGCTGAGGCCTCAATAGTCTGGTGATTCTGTGATGCTCATGGGCAAGATTACATCAGCTGAAGACATCCTGGCTGAGAACCAAGTAGTAACATAAAAAGAGAAAGGTTTCACCTGGGGAGGGACAAATTCCTCATCAGCTTAACTCATTCCACCCACTGTTGTAAGTACTTTCTGCTCATCTCATAGTCCTAATCAACTTAAGCTCCTCATCACGTAAGATCCTCATCAACATAGGATTACCATCACCCCCCTGAGACATCTGATACTTCCTCTGATTATAAGATCCTTGTCAATTTAGGATTATTGCTGCCTTCTGAGTCATCTAATACTTCCTAGGAACCCAATAGCGTCAAGCTCGGGGTTTCTTTGCCTTTGCTGCCCAGAGGAGCACTATAGGTCCAAAACCCAGCTTCTTCTCTAACCTCATTTCTTGTCTTTATTCTTATCAGTTTTGTGTGATAGTGGCACACAGGAGACCAGGACCCACTGCAGGGGTTCTGGTAACATCCCCTTTCCCATTCCCTATAACCAGTGACACAAGGCAATGTATTGTCAGTTTATTCTGACTGGAACATTTTACATCTAGAGTCCACTTGTCTATTGGTGTCAAGACTACATTTCTTTTCTGTTCGAAATACTTCTCTTCCAGTACTATTTCTCTTGCTAAATTAATTACTTCACCAATCACTTCAGGAAATTCCCACAGCTATTTAGATTTTGGACTTTAAAATGTTTCTTCACTTTTTATGTTTTTCCAAGTTTTCTAAAACGAACACATGGTACTCATAGAGAAGTATCTCATCTATTATGACATCCTTGTCTGAAATCTCCCATTCTGGATACAGCAGTTTTTTTAACATCCCATAGCTAATATTTAAATTAAGACTTTTTGCTTTGTTTTTGAATCAAGGTCTTACTATATAATTCAGATAGGCCTTGAACTCACCATGTAGCCCAGACTGCCCTTGACCTCACAGCAAACCTCCTGCCTCAGCCTTCTAAGTGCTACAATTACAGGTGTGTACTAACACAGTCACCATGTTTGTTAAGACTTTTATGCTAGTAAATTTTATACCTGGTCTATCCTCACTCTCTAAAGTTTTTGTATTCCATCTTTTCCTTTCAAGTAATTCAAGTCTCTAGATCTCATCACTCCATTTCTGTATGTAATACAAAATCCCTCTGTGGTGACCTGCCCAAGACTTTCTGGGCTCACTTTCCCTCTTCCTGTCTTAAGAGTTAATTCAGAGGGAAAGTCTAAAAAATGATTTCTACTTTAAAGAGTATTACTTTTTTTTT